CAGTCCTCCGCCGTCATGGCTCTCCAGGAGGCCGCTGAGGCTTACCTCGTCTCTCTCTTCGAAGACACCAACTTGGCTGCCATCCACGCCAAGCGTGTTACCATGTACGTTTGCATGCCTGGCCTCGTGGTCGTCGCCGTTATCTGACAAGCACGTCCTCTCTTACAGCCAACCCAAGGATCTCGCCCTCGCTCGTCGTCTCCGTGGCGAGCGCACTTAAGCGTTAGGCTATCTACTATACAGTGTGCATCATCGTTGGCTTCAGACTCATCGTTGTACAAGTCGATGTCGCCATTTGTCCTCTTGATGTAACAAGTCGCCGAGTGTTCCTTACCTATCTCTTTATCAAGACTCTCGTATGCCGTTCGCTTCCGACCTTCTTTGTATACATATAACCCCTTGATCGTATCCCTAAGTTTATGCCCGCCTGCGTGTGTGAAAACCACCCATGGTTTAAGTGTCTTCATTCTCAGCAAGATGCAACAGTCTTATTCAAGTTACAACCCACAGAAAAACGCGATATCAGCTATTCAACGTCGGCTCAACGACGACCTTCCAATCTGGCTGATGCTCCTGGTACTCCCATCCAGCCTTCCTCTCGAAACTAGCAAACGCCAAGTCGTATCCACCAAATTCGTAGTTAATCTTGTCCACGCGCTTGTAGTTGAATCCAAGCGCTTTGGCCGTAAGAGCTTTGAAGAAAGTACGCTGAGCCGTCTCGATAGGTGAATCATCCGCGTTGGAAGAGACGAAGAGCGTTAATGTAAGGTGTCCGGGTTGGAAGATGTTGACGACCCGCTGTATGAGGATCTCCAGGTCGGGCATTTTATCAGAAGCTGCTGGCGTAGAGCTTGAAGACGAAGCAGTTGGAAGAGGTATGTTGCACTCGAAACTGGCGTAGCTCCATCCCTCTTCGGGCGTGACATGGATGGTGTAGTAGCCTTCTCCTTGGTCATGGCGTACCAGTCCGTTCGCGGAGTACCCGCACGGCTCGAATGCGAACGCGTCTAAGGTCGTTTGAGACTCTGGGAAGAGGTCCGTGATACCGACTTCTTTGGAGAGCGCTTGGCCTCGAGTGTGGTGTGGCGAGGCTGAGGCTTCCGAGCCAGCAGCCAGTGGTGGGGAGTCGGGGAAGAAGAATGGTCGACGACCTGGAGCGGATAGTTTTGACATGAGGATTTCCAAAGTGAAATCTTGCTGGAGTGGAGGAGTTTCCTTTGCTGACGATGCAGCAGGCTCCTCCTTCGCCGTTTCCTCTGCGGCTTCCTCGTCATCCTCATCAGGTGGCGCAGTAACGTAGCAAAGCCAATGATCCCGGTTGACGCTCCCAACAGTATACGCAGCTCCGATTCCTCGGTGGCCTTTCTCGTGACCGGGTCCGAAGAGCTTGTCGAGGAACGACACTTCTTCCGTCCATTCTCGGTGTGGACCTTGCTGTCGCTCGGGGAACATGAAGGACTTCCTGGAATACCAGAGTCGGTGGACTGACAGCAGCAACGGAGGTGGTGCTGCCGCGATGGAAAGGATCTTGGGCAAGCCGAGTAGGTTAAGCGTCGTGCCACAAGTCTTGAGGATGAGCTTGTGCGGCGAGACGAAGAGGGAAGACTCGCTGTAAGAAAAGCCTCTTGAGAACATACCCCATTTCAGGTGAGTACTCTGGAAGCTTGCCTAAGCAAATACGCGTCCATCTCAATGCCCTCAATGACGCTTAGGACCTTGCACTTGACGATGTCCAACATCTCCTCCCAAGTCTCCCTCTTTACTCTTCTCAGTCCGCTCCTTTTCACGCCAATCTTTTCATCAAACTCATCGTCATCTGCAGCGACGTCTTCTGCAGAAGGAGCGAACCAGACTTCAAGCAGCTTCTCAGGTCCCTCGAAGGGGCAGACGTTGAGCGCTGCAGCGTCCTCTTGAAGTACGTCGGAAATGACTTCAGCTTGAGTCATGACCACGATTGACTAATCCGTCAGCGTCGAAGCTCAGACAGAGGTAGCAGCGCCCGAGCAGATTAGAGAAGAGATAGCTTCTCGTGGTGTGGGAGTAGTCTTGCCATCCGGAAGCGGGCGGGCTCGACTCAGAATGTTTGTTTGTTCCCGACGCTCGACCGACTTGCACCGACTTGCACCTTCTCGGTCCTCACCACTTTTGGGCTCACTGATGATCCTGACAGGGAGGCGTTTGGGCTGTGGCAAATGACGCGGAAGAAGACGTTTCGCCCAGGCTCATAGTGTATCGATCCGCTCCGCTTGGTATGGCTTGAATCGCGAGACCCGTGACGATCGGTGACGTCGTTGGCGTAAGTCTCCCTCTCCAATCCTCCATATAAAGAGACCATTTACTTGCGTAACTGAGATCCTAACAATTTCTCTCCCCATTCCAGCTTCATAACTAGTTGTACCAAAATGTCTAGCACTGACCAATACACCGCCCACTCCGAATCCTCCAGGGAGGTCACTCCTCAGCAGAAGATTGATGACTTGAACAACATCCTCAACCAGACGAAATATGCGATGCGTATGTTCCACCCTAAACGTTCGTGTCGTGCCTAAAGCTGACCGGTTGCTATTTGTCAGTAACGACCCGAGACGCTCAAGGCTGCATGCACTCCCGTTGCATGGCTCTTGCCTCTCGTAGGTTCCCTTTCCCTCGATGTGATTCGTGCTTCACATTCGTGTCATCCTCCAGATGAGGGCCTCCACTTCTCCTTTATCAGCGACAACACGTCTCACAAGCAAGACGAGCTCAACACCGTTGATGACGTGAACGTCGCCTTCCTGGACCCATCCTCCACGAACTGGGTCTCCGTTTGCGGCAAGGCCAAGACTCATCAAAACCGGGAGCAAATCGATAAGCTTTGGAATCCTCTGGTCTCAGCCTGGTTCGGGGACTTGGGAGATGGCGTTCACAAGGGTGGCAAAGATGATCCACGGGTCTGCATCATCGAGGTTGTTCCGGATTCGGTAAGTCTCTGGACGCGTTCAGGGAGCCCATATGCTGACGCTTCACTCTGCAACCCGTCATCTTTGTCCTAGATTCGATATTGGATGAGCACCAAGAGCAAGCTCGGTCAACGTGTCGACATCGTGGCTTCTGCCGTTACGGGAAAGGTCGCATCGCCAGGAGACCTTCGCACTATCACCAAAGACGAGGTATGGGGCTCGCTGACCGATACTCAGAAGAGACATTAATATTCCAATGTTTTTGCAGATCCGAATCATTGAAGGACTCAACAGCGTATAAGCTCTGAGTTTGATGTCTCGTCTGTACTTTGTATTGTTCCCCGTCGTCAATGTGATTCCGTTTGAATAATCTTTTGGTGCCGTTGTGGAACCGAGGAGCGGATATCTTGACTCATTCGAACCCAGCCCAGTGCTGTAAAGGCGGCGGCGTGAACCCCAGAAACGGCAATGGAACAGGAGCGGAGAACGAATCTTGAGAGAGCTTCCCAGGCAAAGACCCCGCATGGACAACCACCTTCGTTATTCCAGTAACCACCCGCTGGACAGGAACTCTGTACATAACTTTCACCCGAGGCTGGAGTAGAAGCCACCACCCTCCGTTTCAGCTGTATATAATCGACGAAGCCAGAGGAGAACCACCGGAAATGGTGTCTCTGTCCGCCCTCTCCTTCCTTACCCAGAAGATTGTCCACAGCAAGACAGGCCATGTATTCTTGTTGTATTGCTCGTTGCAAGATGAAACTACGCTCCGAATGGACCTGACTATCGCTGGACCGACTCGTTCTGAGAGCCTTCAAGACTTCAACACGCAACTCTTGGGCAGGTGGTGGAGCAACGCCTGGTCAGAAGATGAACTCACGAAGATGTTGGTAAGAGCTCTTGATATTGAAGCATGCTGTCTTTCGTCTGTAAACGACAACTCTGTAGGCTGTCGAAACGCTTGTAGCGAACATCGTCAAAGGAGAACTCCATGTCCGGGGTTGGAGCGAGAGCAAAGCCCGAAGAGAGAGTCTCGAGCTCAAGGTAGTCTTCGCATCGGCCATGCGCCGGACCGTGCCGTTGATGATATTGTTCCCTCCCACAGCTGGTGGTTGACCCAAAGAGCGAGGATCGGGCTTCGTTCTCTCTGCCCGAATGCTCTTCCGTAGAAGCCCTGTTGCAACACAAGATTCTTCTGGACGGTGTGAGTACAGCCGCTCATCAGTACAAGAACCCTTCACTGAGATTCGTGCTCAGATAACCGAGAAATCACAAGCCCAAAACTGTCGTATATTTCCCGAGACCGCCCTAGGATTGCGCGAGGACCTCGCTGAGCTTCGTACGTGTTACACGTTCCTCGTCCATGCATTATCTGAAGCAAGACCGAAAATTCCAGAGGCCGAGGTGTCATCCGCTAACCGTCAACTTAAGAAACGAGATGTACGTAAAATCGCACAGCAGTTCGCCCCTGTGGTTCGGCTCACGGACGTCGCGCCCGTTTTAGCGAGTGATCGAAGAGCTCAAAGCGCAAATCGAGACTGCGAACGAGCAGCTGAAGGAGTACGTCCGAGAAACAGCCCCAGCAAGTACGTCCATCTATGACCACCGCCAAAGATGTGAACGCGCCAGCTTAGTGCCTTCCCTCGTCCGTACTCATCTACAGGACCGGCCCATCCGCAACCCAAGATTCCGCCTAACCACTCGAAAGCAGCTGTTACAAAGAAGAGGAGGCTCGTGCAGAAAGTCGAGTACGAGGACTAGCTTTAAAAGTGAGAGGGGGATCCGTGAAGATGAAAGTCGTGAAGTGGAGAGAAAGATGATCCGGAGGTCGGCTATTCATTTCGTTTTTTCTCCAAGTCCCTCGCTCGAACGCATTTGGTTGGATCCGATGATTACCTTCCCCAAACCTCGTGAACGCCTCATTCGCGGAAGACCTCAAGAAAACCAAAATCCACAATGCGTTGAAGCGGTGTGGTGTTTGAATCGTCATAGTAAGGGTCAACAAAAAGTCCAGGCCTCCCAAAGGATTGCCGTCTTTTGCAACGGGGTCGAGAAAAATCTGCCGACGAGGACGAGTCGAACGTCCGCCTTTGCCGCAATAGGGCAATATGCTTACCAGCTGCACCATCGCCGACAAAAGCTTCATTCGTGCGGACTTCCTTGAAATGTGGCCTTCACATCATACGCTTCGAACCGCGGGGTTTCTGAGCACGTTCCCATCCCACTAAAGGATGCAACGGTCTCGTGTGGATGCGGTACTATTGTGTATAAACCGCTATAATAGGGGGTTTAACCAAAGGTACAGGCCTCCAAAAAAGGATCGACGTCTTCTGCAACGGGGTCGAGAAAATCGGCCGGCGAGGACGAATCGAACGTCCGCCTTTGCCTTAACGGGGCAATGTGCTTACCAACTACACCATCGCCGACAAGAGCTTCATTAACGCGGACTGCCTTGAGATATGGCCTTCGCGCCATACGCCTCGAACCGCGGGGTTTCTGAGCACGTTTCCGTCCAACTAGGGGATGCAACGGTAGTTCCAGCCGCCAATACTACGAGCGATCGGAATTCTGTGAGAGTGGAGCCGTCGATCGACCATACGCAGAAGATCTTGGATCAGGCCGCCTCGAACCGTGAAGCCTCTCGAATTGTGATACGAACGCGAATTAAAAACTGAAGTTCCATATTCCTGGCAGGGGCGCGTTTTTAAATTCATCTTCAGAGAATGTCCGTGCACGGCAAATTGGGCATTTCTTCGTGGCGAGAAAAAAACCGACATGGATCGATGGGCGCAGTTTGCAAAGAGCGAGGTTCGAAACCATCCACGTGTGAGGCCTCACCATGGTGGGCCGCCATGAACATCCTAGAGGATAGGTATAATAACGAGGGCTTGTCGAACGCCGGGCTCTTCGGCAAGAACGCGGTGTCTTGAGCCACTGCACAAGCGCCAAAAAAACATTACGGGCTAATTTAATGCCCGCTTGGGCAGTGCGCAGTTTACCAAGGGGCGGCGTACTGGGTGTAGAATTACCTAAACTGACGTTGGCGCTTCGAGGAAACTGATTGCTGTTTCACGCTCAGATGGTCCAATACGCCTGCCAGGGAGGGCCGAACGTCCAGCGTTGCGGTAAGGAATCATTTGTTACCCTTTACATCACAGTCGACAAGGTGAATAGCGGCAATCTTGAATTCAACGGCATGTTGAACGCAAGGGAACTATTCATATTGCTTAACTTCACAAGCACGTCTAAGTGCTGACGGATTCGACATGCTGGCTTTTGCTGCCTCACCGACAAATCCCCTTAGGCAAGGCAACCCACAGTAATATCATGTGCGACCTGAAATGGTCATAGACTCGGTCCCGTGCCAGAAGATCTGCGTCAGGTTTCGCCCTTACGACTCTTGGCAGCGCTACATTCGGAGTCATGGAACGGAGACGGATGCGGCTTTGTACTGTCGCCCGAGATGGTTCAGGAGTGAGATGTACCATAGACGTTGGGTCGAACCTCCGGATTTTCTGGAGGACGGGAATACGCTTTGGGCTTTCTACGCCAAGCACCTGCAACGACAGTGGGTCCAAAGCGATGATGTGCCAATAAAATATTTACGAGGGAGAAATGTACCATATTGAGAGGAATCAGAACTTATGCCAACACCACCTCGAGTTATGCCGCACGCTGTTCTGTGCCTCAAAGCTGCAATTTGCCGACCAGAACGACTCGAACGTCCAGGCTTGCTCTTAGAGGAGCACGTGTTACCCGTTACACCATAGCCGGCAAATTGGACAGCTCCTTAGTTCAATTTTTGACGACATGGGTATGTCTGGGGGGCCAAGTGCTTGGACTTGTGCGTGTTTCTGTGTACCGGTAGGTATGAGGTGGAGCCCTTGCTGTCTAGCTTGGGCGTGCCTAGTGAGACGATGTCGACTGTCATGATTCGACGTGCAACGCGGGTACGGTTCTAATATAAGAACTCGTTCGCTCGTGAATATATTCCACGATTCGGTCCTGAGCTTGCCGATCTCGGAAATCTGTGTCAGCGGTCGGTCTTCCGTTCTTGAAGTAACGATGTCCATGATTCAAAATTGACGCGTCAACCCCGTCCTACTGCTACCGCGTAGTATATAGGTGAGATATGCTAGGTGCTTTGGGATCGAACCTCTCGCCTTGACGAACGGAGCTATCTATTTGTGTTTATCCATGATGAAGGTGCCGATCGGAGGGGACGGAAAAATAGGAGGCGGTATGCAAAGCGTAGACGAAGTAGTGTACCACCTACAGGGGAGGAATATGCTGGGTGCACATACCAGAGCTGCCATCGACGACGCTCGTTTGATATTCCAAAAAGCACAGTAAGCCGACCAGGGCGACTCGAACGCCCAGTATTGCAGTCAAACCGCAATGTGTTACCCGTTACACCACAGCCGACCGATTGGGCTCCTTCCGCTCTAGATTTCGTGGCAAGGTGTGCACTACGATGGATTTCTCGGGCGGCTGCTTGCCTTAGAACGTCCCGAGTACCGGAGGACCCGAGATGCTATCGTTCACAGCCCGGAATGGCCCGCGATGCGTCCTAAGATAATCAATAAATGAGTTCCATGACAGATATGTTGGGAAATAGCTGATTTCCGTGCTTGCCTCTTACCTCCGGAGAACAATACATCGCAGTCGCCATCCTGAGAAAGATACGTACTTATTGCAATGCCTCTACCGCGCCATACAGCTTCCTCAAACGGTCTGAGAATCGGGTGTACCACGGAGGGTAGACCGAACTTCCGGCTTTGCTGTCTGAATGTAATAATCCACTCATTACACCGACACCGACAAAAACCAAAATCGGTGATGTGCCATTTACGAAGGGGTGACAAGAAGTATCAAACGCATTCTGGGAGTAAACCCTAACACTGTCTTGCACTTGAGCGCTGCAAAATATATGCCGACCAGAGCGACTCGAACGCCCAGCTTTGCCGTACAGGAGCAATGTGTTTACCCGTTACACCACAGCCGACGAAAAAACTCTTTCTCATTGCGTGAACTAACAGGACACCCGTTCACCGAGCGACCGTTCTTGGGTCCGGATTGGTGTGATAAGTATGCTACTTTTACTGCGTCGCAAGGGCGTCCGCTTTCCAATGACTCGTAATGAGGTTCGACCTAAAAGGTTCACGGCAGATTCTCTAGAGAAATATTTCAATCGAAATTCGCTCCCACATCTGCAGAGATAATTTACAGTCCAAAAAGATGCGCTGTACTGTTTCGCACGACCTAGCTGCGATTGGCGCGGCGTGCCGACCAGGACGGCTCGAACGTCCAGCCTTTGCCAAACAAGGGCAATGTGTTACCCGTTACACCACGGTCGACAAAGAATCATCAGATTAAAGCTGCAGGAACGATTATGGCCATTCAACTGCACAGCCTAGCCCTAATCGAAGCCACACTTCAAGAGATATAACTCGAACTCCCCCAATTAAACATGTACATCAGACTGATCGATTCAACGAGATCTTATTGGCTGGAAATGACTGGAGGTATCGACCTTGGACTCGATCGTGGGTCCTGGTCCGAGCTTGATTGGAATATACATTGTTAAGAAACTTATCGGGGTCTGGGTTTTAGTAAACCGATTGTTGTCACGGCCCATCAAACACAGGCAATATTCAACAGGAATGGTCCAAATCTCTCTCAAAATTCTCCTTTTCTGTCCAAGAGTGAACACTGGTGCCGTCTTAGTTGCCTGAAAGGTCTGCCGTTGATATCGAGCTTGAAATCGCGCAGATTAGGGTCACTTCAGTTTTATTAACCATGGAAATCTTCTCGGGTTCAACCCCAGTGTCCATGACGGATTCTCAAGCAGAATGTTTATATCAATATTCGCTGCCACGTGTGTGGAGACCATTATTGCTCCTTACAGCCCAAGCTACAATTGGTGCGAAATGCCGACCAGGACGACTCGAACGTCCAGCTTTTGCCCAAAACGGGTTACCCGTTACACCATAGCCGACGAGGAATCGTCAGTCAAACCGCAGAGATGGTTCACGCTTTCAATTGGACAGCCTGGCTCATCGAAACAACCCATTTCAAGGGAGACAACTCGAACTCCCCCGATCGAAATACATCAGACTGAGGAGCGAACTACATCTTATGCCTAAGATATTACTAGACGTGTCAACCCTTGACTCCAGCGGGGACAATGGACTAAGCATGACCGGAATGTAAATCGTCGAGAAAAATTCGATGCCCTATCGGAGGTTTGGTTCTAGTTCCTAAGTCGGCATAGTTGTTAGGGCGTCATAATCGAGAGAAGCTATCGAAGTCCTCTTTTGGGGTCCAAACGCGGATACTATTGCCGCCTTGTTTGCATGGCCCGTCTACTATCGATAAGGAGTTTGAACTCGCTCGGATCACTCCAGTATGATGACTAGAGAAAATGGTCAACGGAGTTTTGCATTCATTTACAAAGTTGGTCTAAACCAAGAACCGTCATGAGTCCCTTGGACCCCCCAGGCCGTAACTTCCTGAAGAGGTTGCCTGAGCACCCTCGAATTCGTTCGCTAAAATCAAGTTTAGACTCTGAGTAAACTTGTCCGGTCTCTTTGCGAGACCACAAGACTTACCGGGGATTCTTCCTTCGCCTGCGTTCCTCTCAAACTCTATCTCTGAAGTCGCGTTTGGGTGAACTGGTCGATCGTAGGTGTCCTCTTCTGCAGAAGTCTTCACTGGAGCGTTTGGAGTTTGGCTCTTCCGGTGGTGTGGGTCATATGGGTCGGTATCGCCGTATGATCCGCCAGCAACCACTAGGAAATCGAAGTCAGGTCAAAATATGCGATAGAATGCGACGACCGAAAAGACATACTGCCCCCTTGCGGTTGTCGGTTCCCAGATCTTCCTGCAGCATTTTGGGGGGTCATGGCTAGCGCGTAGGGTGGTCAGCGTGACGCATTTGATGGTCTGCCAAATAGAAACGAAGCTCACTGTTGTCGACGAGGCTACCAGGAAATGCCTCGTTAGGCTGAACGTTTGTGTACTGGTCGCTCATGGTTACAGTGATGATAAGATTTAGATTTTCTCTTGGATGTGTTGGTAATCCTCTGAAGGGCCAGTTCGCGATGGTCTTCCGACTTTTATACTTTCCAGGCA